TGGAGACCTGCCAAATCTTTAAAGCTAGCCCTGAGATTCAGAAAGTCAAAATTCCTGTCCTCAGATTTGTTTGTGAAGTCAGCTTCTTTCAGGGATGGGTTGCATGACATTTGATGTCTTAAAATCAACACTTTTGATCAGTTGTTTTGCTTCCTCTTCTTAAGGGTGTTATTTTCTTTTGTAGCTGTTGCAGTGTTCAGTGGCTGCTGCTTTATCACTCCCACTTCCCTTGCGCCCCCTTTGCCTTCCCACCCTCATATTTGGAATTTAAGGGATTTTTTTTTTCCTTAATCTTTGCTAAAGAGGGTGAGTAGCTCCTGGAATGTAAGCCTTAGATCTTTCTTGTTGCTACCTGAATGTGCATGTTGTATTGGTGGTGATTGCCAGGAGAATGGCACTTCACAAGACATTTTGGTAGTGTTTATTTTGAGTGACGATTCAGCCCAGTGCTGGTGCAGAGATCATACAGCAAGTTTTCAGCCTGCACATGTTTCGAGAGGTAGGACCAAAGCAATGACTGGCAATGGGGCAACAGCTACTCCTTCATCGAGAACAAGTGCTCTTTTAGCAGCTGTAGATACTCCATATGACCCCTAGCATTTTAAAACTAAAATAACTGCATGATGCTGTAAAATTTCAGTCTGAGGGCTAAGAAAGAATCAATTGAGTTTCAGAGACCTTGGGTCATATGGGAGAGCTTACTTTTTTCCTCTTGTGCTGTCTCACTGAGACCCTGCAGTAGTGTTGCACAGACTACCATACCCTTCTGTGTTGTAGCAAATTAAAAAAAAATATATTGCTGCTTATACTCTACAGCACTCAGCAAATGCTTGGATTCAGTGTTTTGCTTATTTTGCAGATGGTCTTCCACAGGATTTACTCACAAACGTTTAAACTTTTCTTTGATGGCTATTGAGCAAAACCACAGTGATACAGAAAAATGGGGATCGTTCTTCACTGTCTCTTGAATTATTGAGCGGCAGTGATACCTGCCATGCAGAGAGCATGGAAAAAGCCAAAGGGAACTCTGTTCCCAGAGCCTCGAATCAACAGTCAGTTCGCCATGGAAAAGACACGACCGGGATTCCTTTCTTCATGCGGAGAAGATCAGATTGTGATTATAGGATTCTTTGCCATCTCCTGTGTGCCTTGCAAGCAGAGATATCCATGCCTCTCCTGAACTTGTCCTCACCAGAAGATCTGCACGTGTCCTTCTTGCGTCATCCCAGCCAGACCTTCCACCTGCTCTAGCTAAGCAGGATGCTGTCGCAGCATCACCTGAGGTAAAATGGCAGAGTCTGCACCATGCCCAACAGAGGAGCTGCTGCCCTCTCCCATAAGACGGATTCACGTCGTTTGGATCATCTATTTGAGATCTCTTTCCTGTTGTTTATCTTAGAGCAGAGGAAGGGCTTATTTCTCCTCTCAAAAAAACAGAAAGATGAAGTTGTTTTAGCCAGAGCTGCATAAACATGTATAGGAATCTGTCAAGCTAGTGGTTTTGATAGCTAGAACACAAAAATCACAAGCTTTGCTCATTCTTTAGAGTTCAGGGCAAGTCTGTTCAAAGGAGGAAAGATGGATGAAAAGATAAAAATTGAAAATAGAGCTCTGCCTTTCTTGGAAAAGAGGAGATGCTCTGATCTTGATGTAAGGAAATGGATATTTATAAACAAATTATTCCTAACTGCATGCTTCAAAATGATCTTCCAGAACAGTTCTGTTTTCAATCCATTTCCACAAGGAAAACGGTGATGGAGAAAGTCCTCATAAGACCTTTATTATCTTGGATCTTTGTCTCTCCTACTGAACTGCTACTTGAGTCCAGTAAAAGCAACCAATATTCTCTTCGCATCCTGAATAGGTGGGAATTCCCTATTTCCTATGAGGTTTTATAGCAAAGGTGGTCTGGAGTTTCCCTCTTTTTCCAGTGAATGAGGATGTTTCCTGGTGATAAAGATTGTCTCAAAGGGAGCCTTTCCTTGATGTGAGAGAGAGGCCCAGCCAGGTTAGTGTTGGAAAGGAACCTACAAGAAGCTGGGTCTTGCTGCGTCACCTGCTTTGCCTGGCTCTGCCGTGTCCTATTGTTTAGAGCCAGGGAAGAACATGGACCTTGCGGATGTTAATAGTTTGCAGACTTGAGCACAGTCACCTGAAATTAAGTCTATAATGCTCTGTGTGGCACTGTAGCTGCGTGAAGTCTATTTGTGAATAATAGGGATCAACAGCTTGAAGAGATGCTGAGAGTCAGGTATTTGCAAGTTATCTAGTAAGAAAGAGAAGAGAATTTCCAAGATAATCCAAGAAAGAACATGCTTTAGATTATTATTTATCTTTTCAGGATGACTTTCTAGCCAGCAAGCAAACAGCAGTAGAAATTCTTTCCTAAATCATTTCCTCGAACATCTCCTATTACTTTTCCTTTTCTCTTTTTTTTTTGTCTTGCATGTTCTGCCTTACTGGAAGAATATCAACATTATCTTAGAGACTTCTTTTGGCTAATGACATTTGCGTGTGCATTTGCCAGATATTATTCTTTTTGATCAGAGCAGACCATCTTCAACAAAAGGATGGATGTGTGTCCGGAAGATTGAACTTGGCTCCCTAGCCTTCTAGAAGTTGATCTTTAATAAAAAGGCGATGCTTTGCCAAATTGAAAGGAGTAGCGATTCCTTTTACTCTGATGTTGAAATGAAAATACCCGGGCAGGAGGCATGAAGCTGCACGAAAGAAGTTATGCTCAAATTTCTATAAAACAGCGCTGCTATTTAGAGCAGAAATGTTTACATTAAATTGAAACACCGTGACTGTATTCAGTGTCCTCAGAGGGATCAAGAAACAAAGTGTCTTTCTGCATGGACAAGTGAAGAAGTTTCTTTGGAAGCAGCGTGCTGAGTTCCTTCCCTCTTCCTTCCTTCCCCTCCAAATTAGTTTAGGATATCAAGTTCTGTCCTTGACAGCCTTATCTGTCACCTATTTGAAACCATAGGGAAACTTCCCTGTCTAATAATGTAACTGTTAAAATCAAAGCTGCATATATGTCTGTGTATATATATGTATAAAATAAGTCATTGTGGAGGCTTCAATGACAAAACCCGGTTTTTGTTCCACCTTTTTAGATTATTTGGAGCAGAATAAAGGGAAGTTTCTGTGAGGTAGGTGTGGGGCAACAAACTTAAAATGAAGGACATTCCAAATACTGAACTTTATAATGATGTTTTGGCCAGGTGTCTGTTCTGAAAGAGAGGAGGAGGGGAAAAAAAAAAAAAAAAAGACCAATATTGCCCCAAAATGAATCAAGTGAAATTACATCAAACAGAAAGGGCAAATAAGTAGCACATCTCCTTGATCTCCTGATGATAGTTAAGTGTGCTCGAGACTTGGGGTCTTGTTGAAAGCAATAAGCATCACTGCAGATAAAACGATTGTGCCTCTTCTGCGGCACACAGCTCAGGAGCTGCCTTCCCTGCAAACTCTGGGCAGTGCTGCTGTTGTGCAAAAGATACTGCAGTGGCTAAAAGCCCTGTAAATACGGTACCTGAGAGGCTAAGCATATACGTGCATTTTTCCTGTGACTTTTCCTATCTTATTTTATTACATCTTGGCTCCACCCATCAGCTTTCAGGTTTACTGAAGAAAACATCTTTCTCGAGCATTGGTTTTTGTTGTTGTCAAGCTTGTAAAAGCTAATTCTAGGAGGTCTAGATCCCCAGGATAAAGAAGGAATATTACAGAAATCCAAAAACTTGGTTGAGGAATGTGGATAGGTTAGTAACTTGCCCAGCTAATATGCCTGTACCTTGTATCAATTAAGAGACTCTGAGAGGATGCTGAAACTGCTGTTGCTGTGTTTGATCTGGTTTTGCCAGTAGAGTAGAAGACTTGAAATAGGATTTAGGCCGCTACAGAGAAGTTGGGGATGGGGTTAGGAAGTCAGTGGAAAGGGAACCCTTCAGGTAAGTATGATCACTTATTTTTAAGTTGGCTTGCTGTCTAGGATCATGGGGAGATGTTCACTGCATTACAGTAAATACCACTTTTAATTTTCTTGATTAAAAATTGGACAGAGGAGGTTGATTTTCTTTCTTCTGGAAATGAGACCATATTTTTTTTTCCCACCTACATCTACTTGAAACAGACTGAGAAGGAACTTTCTGGACAAACATCTTATGATTGGTCTCATCTACTACAGATATCATAAGTGTCTTGAAAGTTCACAGTCCAAAACTTTGGGTTTTTTGGCATCAGAGCATGAAAAACCCTGCATGTCTAGTATTCATCTCTTCTCATCCTCCCCTATTACAGTGACTCTATGTGTATGTCTCTGTGTGGCAGAAAATGAGGGAATGCAGATGGTTATTCAAGAAGTTACCAACTAGCACTTTTCCTTCCCCTCCAGTCTCTCTGCCTCCCTATCCTGGAAGTTTGGAGCCCCTGCCTCAGCCTACAGCTTCCTTCTTTTTCCAGCTGCCCACAAAAGTAAAGAACCAGTGTGAAAGGTTGAAGAAAGAATCCACTCTGAGGATTGTGTCTCAAGCAAAAAGCTCCAGGTTGCAGACTCTGAAAGAAACTTCCTTTGGGGAAGGATCTGCTCTCGGGATTTGCTCGTCTCTTTTTCCTTGGGCAAGCAGAGTTCTTGAAGGAAACGACAGGGTTGCAGGTAGGTAGGGCCCCTTTGAACTGCCATCCGCTCACATGTGAAGGATGGACTTTGTGCTGTTTCTTTATGCTTTTTTTGTTCGTGTTTTCTGCCACTGCTTCAGGCTGAGAGAGGGAGAGATTATGAGCAGCTTGAAGAGAGGGAGGGGTGGGAGAGAGAGAAAATGTGCTGGGTACTTGCCTCTGTTCCTCATTCATGGGCTTATATTTGCCCTCTAATTCTCTGAAGAATGGTGTTCTTTGAGCCTTGTGTACCAGGCAAACTAAATAAGCACAGAATTTGGTGGCTAAGGGCCTAGCTAAAGGCTGGTGTGATGTGTGTGACCCATAGCCCCATGATTTTCACTCTCTCCCACGCTTTCCAGCAGTGGTAGCTTTGGATAACCAAGGAAATGTAGGCCATGAAATGGTTTGAAAGGTCTGTTGGCTCCCAGCATGGGGCAGCTTCCCCAGTTTCAAATGTGTAAGTATGTTCCTACAGAGGAGTCTGGCTGCTGGGTTTGTCAAGTCCCGTTCCTTGTCCATGTGAAGGAGGTAGCTGGGAATGTCCTGATGGAGGGAATGTGCCGCTAACCTGCACAATTGGCAATTCCCAAGTCCTGGTCAGCAATACTTGTAGAATCAGCTCGGATAATTTCTGCTTTCCTCGCTTCATGCTGTATAGAGCAGCAGCCTTTCGCTTGCAACCTGTGGAAACCCAAAGTCAGGCCTGTCTTTCTCTAGCTATGCCACTGCTGTTGCATGAAGTTTATCCTAAATTTCCTTTCACCTGCTAGCTAGCAATGAAACTCTATGGAAATTTTACCAGTTCCTCTTTCATAGTGAGTCAAGTCATTTGGAACTATGATAAGTGCATTATTGCTGTGGTGCATCTTGTGACTCTTCTCTCCCTCTTCATTCCCTCCAAATTCCTTCAGGACACCTTCTAACCTTTATACTGCATCACAAGCCTTCAGCAGAAGATCTGAGAACCATTTGTGTTGCTGGAAGATGACTGGGTTTGGATCTTGGCCTTCCTTAAGCAGGATCTCCTGACAAAAATGGGATTGGGAAAGAAATGACTTATTTTTCCATCATACAGAGAGAGCCTTTGAGCTACCATAGAAATGGAGGCATAGACAGAGAATTACTTCTAATGCACTAATCTCTAGGGAATTTTTGGCCTCCCCATGGTCCTTTTGTTATAATGTCATGAAGATTATTTTTTGTCAAGCCTAAACCTGGTATCTGGCCACCTGAAGATCAAGTGAATGAATCTGGGTTTAAGAGTTTATTGTTCTAACAGTGTGAACACAGCTGGCCTTCCTTGCAGGGGAGGTGCCCAGTGCCATGGTGAATCAGGGCTCTTTGGGGCTTCAGACTTTATAATAATCAATAAAGCCTATGAATACAACACTAGGCTAGGCTTCCACCTCCCCCTTTTGCAGGATTTCTTTTTTAACAAGGCACCCAGAGAGTCAGAACAGCAATGTGGAAAGCATTACGTCTTTCGAGGTTCCTTAAGGTTTTGAGAAGAAAAGAGATATGGTGGAGGTGTTGAAGGTCACAAAAGTTAGGTTTTTCCTCAAGAGTGAGAAATTACTTGTTAGAAAGCAGAAGGCTATTTATTTTTTTTCTCCCCTCCCAAAGGGATTCTATAGTCAAACTTAATTAGGCTGCAAGATCTGTGAAATAAAAACCTTATGTCTGGCAATAGTAAACAATGCACATGCATGCCCATGCACTTCCATCCTTCTCAGTGTAGAAAATTGCTTTTGGAAAAGAGGACTTACTTTTCATGTTCCGATTAGGAAAAGGAAAAGCTTTGCTCAGAAGCTGTGAGAAGGGGTGGCATGAGGGTGAACTGGACCCTCTGGCAATAGGTAAAGAACATTTTTATTTTTGTGTTTTCTGCTTTTGGCAGCTGGAGTGAACTAGTCGGATGTTTGTGCTTGAATCCAATTTATTTCTGAAATCAGTTACTATGAAACACCGTTTTTTAACTAATGCCTAGAACTTCATTAAGTTCCCCAGCATATTTAAATTGTTTAACAGTCTTAATGTAGCCCTGAGGCTACCACTTCATGGCAGTTGTGATTTTTTTTTGTTACGCTGGAATGCGTTGCAGTCTTGGTACATTCTAAAAATAATTGTTCAGATGGTGCTGCTTAAGTACATACCTATGTAGTGAGCCGTTTCCATTGGGCTTTCGGAAATTGGGCTCTCTGGTGGACGACTTTAATGTCTCCCTCCTCCCTCTCCCTAAATATCAAACGTCCGTCTCGCTGCTTCTGTGGTTATCGAGTAAAATGCTAAATTTATAACCCGCTATTTTTAGAAAACTGATAGGCAGATGCATGTTTCAAAATATGCAGCCACGGTAGCGCTTGTGAACTTCAAGACTGAGAGAGAAACGAGTTGAACTCTATTTGATGTGTCAAATCCTGGAAGGCTTTGAAAAATGTCAAAATATGTATGTGGTGACTTGAGTTGCTTTTTGTTATAGGTGCAGGTCTTTTGGCAAACTGTGCTGAGCAGGAGTAAGCTAGAAGTCATAAACTCAAGATCTGTGAGTTGCAGAAATAAATACTAACGTGTGGCTCGAGGTCTGTGCCAGTAGTGCTTTTAGTTGAAGAAAATACTCGTGTTTGTGTCTGACTTCTAGTCTCTGTTTTGTACCTTCCTTATTTGTGTACTTGCCTCAGCCACAGCTTTTGGTCATTTTATTCTATGGAACAAGGTGCATTTAATACTCTTAAATACTTGTGGTAAAATAACAGGGACACAGAGAATCGCTTTTTATGGTATTATCCCAGTCCCTGTCTCTAGGGTAACCTGAAATAACTTTACTGCTCCTGCTCTTCTCCATAGTCATGATTTTTAAATAAAATAATTTTGACTGTTGCTTTTATAAAGTCAGTATTTTGATACTCCTTTTGTATCAGCATTGTGTAGCATAATATTATTGTGCTCTGAGTCTTGCAGCTGGAATCCTGGATTCTTGATATGTTTTCAGAGTTGACTTTTGCCTTCTGTTGTTAAACATTAATAAAGATGTCCAAAACCGTTTTCTTCTTGTTTATATTATACTTGCCATAATTGTATAAGTACAGAGTGACTCTGTTCTGATTGATTCCAGAATGCCAGGAAACAAGAAAACATGTGATAAAATTCTAGGGTTTCAAACCCAAATGCTAAAAGAATTTCATAAGCTAGACTTGTATTTTATTTCTAATTTTCCCCTTTTTGTTCCTTTTAAGATTCCTTCAGCATTTGAGCTACCCGACTCATTTTGCATAACCCTCTATCTTCATCACGTTCCTGCTGCTTTTATTTTTTAAGCAGGACTACTTGGATCAGGATAGGATTTTAATCATGGTATGTTGACAGCTCCGTATCTAGTCAGTAAAATTGTGGCCGTTGACCTCTCTTCTTTCTCTGTCCCAAAAGAGTGATCTTTTCACCTCAAAAATTTCTTCCTTTCTTTCCTTCTATCCAGCCTCTCAGGTTTATGTTGTAACACTCTGTCGGTGATGGGGTGCTCTGGAAGTGATGGAAATGTAAGTGAAGATTGGGGAATTTCAGGAAAAATCTTGTTAATGTTGTTGCTTTTAGCAGAACTAAATTAATTTTGTTTGAGAGATGCGTTGTCAGTTCTGAGTAGTTACTTAAGGAGAGAGATGTGACCGGAAGCATCGTTCTGCTTTAAAAACTAATTGTGTGGTTTTGTTTTTTTTTCTTTTTTAACTTTGAAAAGTAAATGTATATAACCAAGGCGATGAGAATGAACAGCGTAGACTCCATGGTGCTTATATTGTGTTCCCTCATTTTACTGTGAGGGAAACAGGGGTGTCAATCACCTTCATGGAAGGTCATAGTGAATTTCTGAAAACCGGACTGGTTCCAGCAGCTGTAATATGCTGTAAATCCAGTTATATTCTCAGTTTTGTTTCTCTAGATCTGTTTGCAGGATGTGGGAGTCTAATCAGGTAGAGGGAAGAAGAACTCTTCCCCCCCTCACCCCAGTTTTTCTGCTTCTTGAGGAAAGTGGAAGCTTTTTTTGGAGAGTCTCCGATGAGCTCTGGAAGATAGAACATTATTTAAGGGTTATGTTAAATAAGGATTTCTATTATTTCCACTTAAAACCTGGCAAATGCTTCCTGTGTGCAGCAATGCTAACAAACACTTGAATGCTTCCAGTTTTGTTTCCTGCATGGGCTTGGTGAGGAGTTGGCTCAGCTCCTGCCCCAGCTCCATAAATCACTGATATCAAGAATCCTTTTGTAGGTGGGTGGTTTCAGGAATGGTTGTTCTCAGCTGCTTAGGAAACTGGATTGTCTGAATGGCACGAAAGGCATTACGAATGAACCACTAAAAATGTTTTTAAGTTTGTGTTAGGGTACTTTCTTTTTTTCTTTTTTTTTTTTTTTAACTGATGATGCTTTTACTTCCTTGATGGCTGGCTAAATTGTTCTTTAGAACAATTTACACAGCTCACAAACTGTCCTATGTTGTGCCACTTCGTGTCCCACTCATTCGTATGGTGATTCTCCCTCTTCATAGTAGAAGCCTTATTTTCTTGCCTTCTCCACGTACCAGTCAAGTGGATGTCAGGAAATTATGTGGGTTTTAGGCTTCTGTTACAGAACAGAAAGTGAAGAAATCTGTCTGGCACAAACGGATGCCTCTTCTATGGGGAGAAATAACTCTGTTATCCAGACAGAATGCTGTAAGACTGTACAAATGGTTAAAGAGGTTTATGGCTTGGGGTGCTTTTCTTCTTAGTAGCTACTTAAATAACTTGAATCTTATCAGCATCTAACCACCTCTTGCCCATTTCAGAGAAAGGTCTTTTCATCTGCAGCTCTGAAATAAATGGCATTTGAACAAGAAACAAACAAAAACCCCTGTCCTGTAACTACAAATGTTTTGAACGTGATCATAATTAACTTCTGAAGCTTGGGCTGAGATTTGACATTACACAAAATTCAGCTCTGCATTGACGTGAAATTTGCACATAGGATAAATTTAACTCGTCTACAGCCCACATTAAAAACGATGATAACTTAATGCCTTTCTGCATTAAGATTAAATCAAACAAATCTAACGGTCTCTTGTTAGAAATTAACTTAATTTCATGTACTCTTAGGTATTACTAGAGTTAAGCATAGGAAAATGAACTATGTATTTTGGGGGGCATTGGTATGAAAAGAAATGATTGAGTTTTCTGCAGCTCGTTGCACTTTTTTGTACCTATCTTGATTAAAATTGATTTAAATGGGTAGCCAGTGGGTAAAAAAGTGCAGTAAAATATGTTCTGTATTTTTTTCATGGGGTTATAGAAAGAATAGGAAAGACTGCTTGGACCTGTCATTTTACAGAAACCATTGGCAAATGGCGGATTTTTATTTTTTCAAAGCTTGGTTTGAACTTAGCACGTGGAAGGCTAAAGTCAGGAAATCTCAACTCCATGAGCCAGAAGTTTAATCTTCTTCTCATTTTTTCTATTGTTTTGTATATCCTGCTGTTCGCCAGTGAGAGAAGGTGCTATGCAAGGCTAAAAAATAAAGTTGGACATGGAATAAAAGGTAAGTAGCATGAGAACATGAAATATGAGTCTCTGAGAAGTGCTGGAAATTATCTTGAGTACAGATGGGCCGTAATTTGGGCAAGCATCCTTAGCCAGTGAAGCATTTCAGGGGAGTTTTCGCAGAGCTTTAGGATGGGTTTATAAGTGATAGTAAATAGTAAAATTTGCGATAAAGTCTTCCTGATCTGTGGTAGTACTTCACATTAGATGAGAAAGCAGGAAAATTGGTTTGGTTTGCAAAGTATTTTTGGGGATGCGTATAAAAGGCAGAGAGAGATCCCTATAGGAGTGAAGACCTGAGTACAGTCGTCGTGTTACCAGTGGGGTGTTTCAGGGTAGCCTGGGGACTGTAAAGAAATTCAGGCTGACTCAGGTACTGGTGTAGCACAGGAACTGAAATATCAAGCAGCCCAATAATGTAGGGGCTCTCCATTAACACATGAGTCTTGACAGAAAATCTCTTGCAGCCACCGCAGTCTTCTGTAAGCGACGGAACTGGTGAAGTCTCCGTTGCTCTGAGATTTGGCTCGTGTGTTTTACATCCTCTGGTGTCCCTAAAGCACTAGCTCTGCTCTAAAGATTTCCCTGTGCCTTGGTCACTTGTGTCCATCGCCTTGTG